TACTATACTCCCGGGGGGCGGGGGCGTGGGGGCAGTCAGGGCGACCTCTCAAACCCACGGGAGATGGCCTGTGGTGTGGTCTGGGGGCCCTGGCACACTTGTAGATCCATTGGCAGCCGCCCGGAGAAGCCTGAATTGTTTCCAGGTTGTTTTCCAGGCTTCCTTCTGCAGCTGCTGGGCCCTGCCTATTCCCTCCAGGGAGGCAAAGCTCCGAGAAGAGGCCCAGGGCCTTTTCCCAGGGCCCTGGGAGGGAGGCCTGGAGCCAGAGGCCTGGTCTCCCTGGAGTCTCCGACACCAGGCACCAGGCAAACAGGCCAGACTCTTTTCCAGAAGTCACTTCTCTGCCTTCCCCTACTGGGGTGGATGGGAGGCCCATCCAATGTGGCCAGATTGGGCAAATGAAAATACATGATGCCCAGCTCAATTTGAATCTCAGTTCAACAATGAATAATTTTTTTCTCATATAGGTATGTCCCATGCAATATTTGGACCATGCTTTTACACTAACAAAACGCTCATTGTTTTATCTAGAATTTACATGCAACAGGCCATCTTGTATTTTATCTGGTAACCCTGGCCCCACCTCATTCTTTAAATTCTAAGAATATCCCCCTTCTCTGCTTCTTATCTGGGAGGAGATATTTGAACCTTAGGGCACCCTGATTATTTTTCATGTTATTGTGGATTTAACTTGGTTTTAAAACTCTGGAATATCACTGACATTTGTAAACATTTTTGAAGCTGATCTATTTTATTAACTGGTTCAGACAGTAAAGAGTCTGCCTGCAATGCAGGAGACCCAGATCCCTGGGAGAAGGGAATGGCAACCCACTCCAGTATTCTTGCCTGGAGAAATCCATCAATAGAGGTACATTCCAGGGGGTTACAAAGAGTTGGACATGACTAAGTGACTAACACTCATTTTTCATATCACAGTCACCTAGTGTAGTAAAAACCTCTGAAAATTTTTAAAAATCAAAAACTTCCAATGGATAATTTCTTTTCCTTCACATTTCTTTCTTACTTTTGTTACTCTTGTATGTTTTGGAAATGTTATGCTAGTATATAGGAAAGCATCCTATTCTTACCTTATTATCAGTGCTAAAGGAAAATGCTCTTTACCCTTCTCTTCTTTTCCTTTTAAGAAAAGCCCACCTATCACCATGTACCCTGTTTCCCTTTGAAAAGGGAGGCTGACAGGTTGGTCCCATCTCTCTCAAAAGGGGAGCTCACAGGTGAATGACAGACACCCCTCGTGCGTGGACACTGTTGAAATTACTCCCTGGACTTGGAATGTCCTAAGGGCCAGGGCCAGAGAAGATCTCCAGGGAGGCACGCTTGGGGCTTTGGAAAGGTGTCTCATTCACTTTTGTCTCCTTCTGCTCCTTTTCCCACAACCCCCACCCCGCCCCACCCAAAGTATTAGAAGTAGCAACACTCCAACATCCAATGGCGCAGGGTAGACACAAGTACAGAGGTTCCAGGTCTCTGCCTCTGGGCGTCACGGCAGGGACCTGAGTCTGTGTTAGTCACTCAGTCGTGTCCGACTCTTTGCAACCCCATGGACTGTATCCTGCCAGGCTCCTCTGTCCCTGGGATTCTCCAAGCAGGAATACTGGAGTGGGTTGCCATTCCCTTCTCCAGGGGCTCTTCCTGACCCAGGGGTTGAGCCCAGGTCTCCTGCAGTGCAGGCAGATTTTTTACTGCCTGAGCCCCCAGGGAAGCCCCTAATGCAACACAGAGGCTCTGAACACAGAGGGTCTGCCCTGGCAGCCCCCCGGCCCCTCCAAAGCCCAGCTGCTCCTCTGGGTCCCTGGGGAAGAACCTTGGGGAACATCCAGCTCTCTCCAGGCAGCACCCTGGCAAGGGCCCAGCTGGGGGCCCGCCCTGCCTCACCGGGGAGCCAGTGCCCGCCCTGCCCAGCGTCCTCTGACGCAAGCTGTCCTCAGCCACGCCAGGCAGGGCCTCCTGGGCCAGCCCGCACCACTCCCTCCCTCCTCCCCCCTGCCTCCTCCCACGCCTCCCTCCCAGGATTCCCGAGGACTTTGTCAGGGGCGCCTCACACCGACGTCACACCCACCTTGGCTCACAGAGGGTGTGAGACAATGTATCTGTCACACAGGGGTGGCTCTGGTGAGCTCCCAGGCTGCCACCTGGACAAATGACTTACTAGCATTCACCCACCTGCCCCACAGCCTGGCCGGGAGTTTTTCCCCCATCTTGCATCATCTTCTTCCATCTCTTAGGAAGCAAAGTGGCTAAGCTTTCAGTCTCAGATTGAAATAGCCGGGTTCTAACCCTGGCTCTCTCACCCACTAAGTAGTTGCTTGACCCCTCAGCATCTCCGTTTTCTTACCTGGGAAAGGGAGGTAATCATCAGTTCTGCCTCCTAAGGCTGCTTCGAGGATGAAATGAGGCAAGTAAGGAGCATGTAAGGAGCTCAGGAAAATTCCTGGCACATAGTAAATGCTTATTAAACATGAGCTGTTGACCATTTTCTAGACTTGCCAGATGTCTTCTGTGGCCACCAATGTCTGGACTCTGCAGTGGGCAGCACACAACACCAGGCACTAAAGCGGAGACAAAACATCAGCATGGTTGTTCTGATTCTCTGCTTTCGGGTCCTCTTGGAGAAAATCTGAAAGCACCTACATAGTAGACTCCACCTGTGCTCTGTGGCCACTTTCCCATGAATCCTTTGAAGGCTCTTCCTGTATTTGGGTAAAATCCCACATTAGACACCCATCCTCCCCAAGGTGAGAAGTCAGAAACTGCATTTCCCAGCCTGCCCTGCAGCAAGGCACAGGTTCACGACCCAGTTTCCACCAATCAGATACATTCACCAGAGACCTTGAAGAAGCAGGAGGCTGAAGACACCTCAAAGGCAACTGACTCGCCTTCATACTTTCCTACACGTCTCTGTAGAGGTTGTTATGACTTGAATTGTGTCCACCTCCCAGGGAAGAAAGCACACTTGAGTCCTAACCCTTTGTTGTTCAGAACGTAACATTTGTTGAGGATAAAGTCTTTCCAGAGATAATCAAGTTAATAAGGCCATTAGGGTGGGCTCTAATTTTATACGCGTGGTGTCTTTATAAAAAGGGGAAATTTGGACACAGACACACAGAGAGAACACCATGTGAAGACTCATGAAGAAATCGGGGTGACTCAGAGGGAACCAACCCTGCCAAGACCTTGATCTTGGATTGCTAATATCTAGAACTGTGAGAAAATAACATTTCTGTTGCTTAAGCCACCCAATCTGGGGTGCTTTGTTACAGCAGCTATAGGAAACGAATGCAGAGAAGCTCCCAGGCTTTTGTGTCAAATGTAAGCTCCTGAGAGCAGGAAATATTTATTTTCTAGATGGTGTCCAAGAAATATGTTCAATATATGAATGTCCTCTTCATAGTTCAGAGCACAGGACCGAGAAAAGCCCTACATTCAGAGACTGCCCACTTCTCATCCACTACCACTGGCTTTAGCAGTGGTCAGAGAACCATGCCTGCCCCTCCTGCTTGTAGAGGCCGCAGGGCCCACACGATGCAGTAGGGTTGCAGGAGCTGTGTGGACCGCCCTGCGACCCTGTGGCTCTCAGCCTGACTGACTGATGAAGAGAGCATAGACAAAGTATTCTCTTAACTTTTTTTCATTTGATTTTTACCTTTTTTATTGGAGTAGAGCTGATTTACCAACTCTTTCATTGTAAAACCCAAAGCCCACCAGGCTCAGGGAAGGTTTTAGTAACTTCCTGACCCATCCTTTTCCATGGCATGGCATAACCACCCCAGAGGATCTGTGAGAATCAGCAAAGATGTACTGTGGTCAGTACAACAGTTCTTGTTACATGTTGCTAGGCCTGACTTCTTTGGGGCCTAGTCTAACTTCTTTGAGGCAATGGCCTGGGGGAAGTGGAAGGGTCTGCACAATAGAGTTGGCTAGTCTGAGTACGGTTGGGCGGGACCTTCTCTCATTTAGACTGGGAGCTAATGAATGTGTGTCTGTGAGTGCACACATGAGTGTCTGTGTGGGGGAGGGGAGTGGACCTAGGAAGGCTCTTTCTCAGAGGAAGAAAAGGCAGATGCCCATGTCCTGTGGAGTTAAGTGGCCTGTCCAGGTCTTTCTCCACTCTCATGTGCAGACCACAGGATAAGAGGGGCTGAAGCCACCTAGATGGGTCACCAGGAGCCCACGACTGGGGCGGGGGTGGGGGGGGGGGTGGCGGGCGCCTGCCCAGCAGGCTTCAGCCTCCAGGTCTGGGAACGGGCACCTCCTCTGTCAGGAAAAGTGAGCCTCCCACTTGCACATGGGGCGGGCGTGTCGCTCATACTGAGCCCTTTGTGGCCAGAGGGGAGTGCGCTGGCCCCGGTTTGTTCTGGCGGTCGCCCAGGCCCTGCCCACCTGCAACCACCCCACCCAGGGGCTCCCCGCCTTTCTTCTCCAGCCGCCCCACCCTTCCTCACAGCCCGCAGCTGCCCGAGGAGGGCAGGGCACTAGGGAGGAGGCCTGGGCTCCGCCAGAAGGGCGACCTCAGGAGCTGCTGGCTGCAGACCCCGGATGACTCTGAGGATGGCTCCTGGGGAGGAGAGGGCCCTGGGGCCGGCTCCCGAGGCTGACAGAGCGGTGGCTGCTGACGGCCCCCAACCCCTGAGCACTGGGGGCCTGGAGAGAACTCTGAGGCAAAGAAGCGCTTCCTGCTCACCCGGTCCGGGTCAGGCAGGAGACAGCATGATCCGGCTGGGGAGACACTACCGGAGGAGGTCCACGATTATAGCTGCAACCGTTGGTGTTCCTTTAAAAAATTAAAAAAAAAAAAACCCACGACAAATCTCATGCTTGTCAGAGCCTTCCTCCCTCACTGTCGGCTCCCATTATGAATTCATGGCACTTTCTGTTGAGAGTTAATTATACGTTGTATGAAAGATACAGGGCTTCCTTTGACATTTCTTTCCCTCAATGGGCCCTAACCCTTTTGGAGGCCTTCCCGCGCTCCCTCGCAGTGCCGCAGGGAAGAAGGCCCGTCTGGCGCGGCCTCCCCAGCTGCCCACTCTCAGCCTGAAGGCTGGGGGCCTCCCAGAGCTGGTGAGCAGACGAGGGTCCTGCCCACCCAGCTCTCATTTCCCATCCACTCCGGCCAGAGCACTGGTGATTACAACACAGCACAACCAGAAGGTGTTATTGAAAGGTGGCCACACACTTTGCCCACCTTTCCCACCCCCCGCCCGCACACACACAAACAGGTCAGGTCAGGCACAGGGCGACCTGCTTCCTGAAGCCTGACGCCATCACTCTAGAGGGCCCCGGGAGGGGACATGCCCCTGTCAGGCTGGGGCAGAGTTCCACAGCTGCTGGAGCTCTCAGTTCTTTTTTTTTTTTATCATGGCTCCCACACGTAGCTGTCTTCATTCTCGGGATATTTCGTTCTCCCGATGGCTCATCTTTTCTCCCTGAAGCAACAAGTGTGGACGAATACCCTGAACGCTGGCCTCCTTGTGGTGTTGGGTTTCACCTACTGACTAGATGGCTAATCACACAGCTGTCTCTCTTCTCTGCCCCACCCAAAGCTACAGCTCCTCTGGGTCTGGACAAGTCACAGCCCACAGGACTGGGAGGGTGGTCTCAGCCAGCCCCTGCCCTAAGCCGGCATGCACCTCCAAGTGGAGAACTTTCCGTCTTCCAACATCATTCCTCTAAACCAGTCATTAAGGGCACCTCAGTTCAGTTTAGTCGCTCAGTCGTGTCCGTCTCTGCGACCCCATGAACCGCAGCACGCCAGGCCTCCCTGTCCATCACCAACTCCCAGAGCTTACTCAAGCTCATGTCCATCGAGTCGGTGATGCCATCCAACCATCTCATCCTCTGTCGTCCCCTTCTCCTCCTGCCTTCAATCTTTCCCAGCATCAGGGTCTTTTCCAATGAGTCAGTTCTTCCTATCAGGTGGCCGAAGTATTAGAGCTTCAGCTTCAGGTTGTGAGTTAAATGTGAACACATCTATAATTATGATGCTGAACTAACGGCATGTGGAATACACGCTTGGTAACAGGGCAAAGCTTTTCATGTGGGCCAACATTCTCCTGCAACTACTTTTCTTAATTCCACCCTAGGCTAGGGGCTTCCCTGGTGACTCAAGACAGTAAAGAAATCTGCCTGCAATACAGGCAGATTAGATCTGGGTTCAATCCTTGGGACAGGAAGATCCCCTGAAGAAGTGAAGGGCAATCCACTCCACCATTCTTGCCTGGGAAACCCCATGGACAGAGGATCCTGGTGGGCTACAATCCACAGGGCCGCGAAGAGTCGGACACGACTTAGGGGCTAACACTTTATCTCTTATTAGGCTAGAATGTTAACTCGTTTTCATTATTAGCCTAACATAAATTAAGACACCCTACCTGCTGTTGCTTAATTCCAAAATAAAATATAATTATGAATTTTCTATTCTTTTGAATATTTGGTTTGCAGCTTCCTGTCCTAGGGACAACCAAGAGTGAACTTTATAAAAAGAATAACTTCTCTGCTTATTTGGTTTTATTCCTCAAAACGACTGTTGTGAGAAACCATGCTGGATCCATGCTGGATTACTGATGAGTGGGTTGTCCCTAGCCTCTATGATAAGGGGAATTCAAACTCAAGTGTGCAGAGCCTGTAAGAATGCAAATTCCTGGCCCCACTTTAGTAGGCCTGGGGTGGGGCCTAGAATTCTGGATTTTTAAATAAGCATCATGGGTAATTCTGAGGAAAAGAGCCATCCAACTACATGTTGAGAAATTCTAGAGAGGTTACGGCTATGGCTTATAAACACAGAAATCAGCTGGACACCCAGCAGCTGCTACACTCCTCCCGGCCAGAACTTTCCTGGAATTATATTCCAGGAAACTATTTATATACCTATTTTTAAAATAACATTAAGGCTTTTTTCTCCTTGGTTATCAAGCTAATGCAGAGAACATACATAGCTCCATAATAATAATTTTTTAAAAAATCACTCATAATCTCTCCCAAGAAGGGGGGAGACTGTTAACATTATATTGACTCTTTTCTTCTGTGTCCATTTTTAAAATAAAGTTGACAACATATGCAATATATCATTTCATTTTTTCCATGTTTCAATTCTTTTTTTCCTGGAAATGTCATTTCTAAAAGTTATTCGCACCCCCTCATGTGGGAGGCGGCTTATTTTAATAACCATCCTTAACTGGTGGACGTTGACATTGTTTCTAACAACACCGAGAAGGCCTCTGTGCATTAAGTTTTATCAACATTTTTGATGCCTTTCTCCAGCTGGATTCTTAGTGGTACGTTGCTGGATGAAAGGATATGAGTGTTCCTGAGACTCCTGGCACGTGAAACTTGCTGTTTCAATCTGCCCCCTTGCTGGCACAGGGCAAGACACCCGTGTGGACTACCCTCTTGGCCTGTGCTGCAGCCTGCTTATCAAAGGCATCACTCTTACCACACGTTACGGCTGAACTGTTTTCCCTTAGAAGATATTGTGAAATCCTAACCCCCCCTCCCCTCTGCCAGTACCTGTGGATGTGACCTTATTTGGAAACAGGGTCTTTGCTGGTGTAATCAAATTGAGAAGAGGCGATCAGAGGACTTCTCTGATGGTCCAGTGGCTGAGACTCCGTGATGCTAATGCAGGGGGCCTGGTTCAATCTCTGGTCAGGGAACTAGATCCCACATGCTGCAACTAAAGATCCTGTGTGCCACAACTAAGACCTGGTGGAGCCAAATAGGCGCTAGAGATAAAGAACTCGCCTGTCAATGCAGGAGATATAAGAGACGTGGGTTTGATCCCTGGATCAGGAAGATCCTCTGGAGGAGGGCATGGCAAGTCACTCCAGTATTCTTGCCTGAAGAATCCCATGGACAGAGGAGCCTGGCGGGCTACAGTCCATAGGGTCGCACAGAGTTGGACACAACTGAAGTGACTTAGCATGCACAGATAAATAGAAATAAATATTTTTTAAAAAACCAAAGAAGAGGCTATTAGGGTGGGCCCTTATTCAGTGTGACTGGGGTTCTAATAAAGAGACCGCCATGTGAAGACGCAGACAGAACGCCATGTGCTGACAGAGGCAGAGATCAGAGTGATGTAGTTGCAGGCCAAGTAATGCCAAGGATTGCAGGAGGTGTTGAAAGAGCCTAATGAATACTTATTCATTGAGTCAAATCCAAGAGTTTGAAAAAGTGCAGAGTTTATATGCTGGGTACCCTTGTGCCAGGTGAGGTGTGACCCTGAGGAAAAACACTAAACCAGACCCTGCTCCAGTGGGTGATGGGTCCCAGAGCCTCACGCTGGGCCCTGGACTCGTGTGAGGGCCCTTCCTTGGAAGAGACAAGGAAGGATTCTACCCAGAGTCTCAGAGGGAGCAGGGCTCTGCTGATAACTCCAGCCTCTAGAATTCTGAGCAAATACATTTCTGTTGTTTTAAGACACCCAGTTTGTGGTTCCTTGGTTATGGAGTCCTAGGAGAATATACTATCCAGTCTCTGGACTGGTGTCAGATGGGTCAGAAAGAACTGAAATTGAAAGTGTTAGTCACTCAGTCGTGTCCGATTCTTTGCAACCCCATGCACTGTAGCCTGTTAGGCTCCTCTGTCCTTGGGATTCTCCAGGCAAGAATACTGGACTGTGTTGCCATGTCCTCCTCCAGGGGGATCTTCCTGACCCAGGGATTGAAACTGGGTCTATCTGCATTGCAGGCAGATTCTTCACTGTCTGAACTACCAGGGCAGCCCAGAAAGAGCTGAGGTGAGGTGCCAAGGACCGTTCTTACTCCCTCTCCCAATGGTGCCCAATGCAGCCCGTCAATCTGTCCTTCCTGGGAACGTGATCTGCTCAACAGTCCAGGGCCCAGCGTGAGGCTCTGGGACCCACCACCCACTGGAGCAGGGTCTGATTTAGTATTTTCCCTCAGGGTCACATCTCACCTGCCACAGGGGTACCCAGAATATAAATTTTGCACTTTTTCTTCAAACTCTTGGATTTGACTCAATGAATAAGTATTCATTAGGCTCTTTCAACACTTCCTGCATTACTCAAACATGCCAATGTCTGGGCAAAAGTCATCTTTGTCACTGACTAGGCTTCAGAATAATTCATTATCAGGTTTCTCTCAGGCCTGAAATCCACCATTGGCTGGCACCATTGTGCTGCTCTTAAATTCCTTACCTCTCCTAGAAATGTTGGTCTTTTTGCTCCAGTGGCTTCTGAAAAATAGCTCAACAGTCTCTCAATTTGACTTCCTTGACCCTGTACAGAACCTAGACCTAAAGAACCCCGATGGAGAAGATTATACACTTAAGGAAGCTGTTACCCCCCAACAGCTAAAAACCATTTAATTTTTATTGGAGTACAGTTGATTTATAACGTTGTGATAAGTTCCAGGTGTACACTGGGCACCCATGGGGCTGTCAATTACTTCCTCTGGTCCTCCAAAGAGCCCTAAGAAGCGGGTGTAAGGATCTCTATTTTACAGAAGAAACCTGGGCACAGACAGATCAGCAGGTGGCCCAAGGCAGTTGAGCTCAGACACAGAAAAACGAGAGCTAGAACCGCATTTTCTCACACAGGGTCCCTGGCCCTCTGCTCCTCTGGTCGAGGACAACTGCAGAAGGTTAGCTTTTCAGCGGAGTGACAAATGCGGTGCCAGATGTTCTGAGGACCTACGCCAAATCCTTTGAGGCCGATGTTGCTAGTTTGGCTCGGTTTCCTCTCCAACTTTTCTGGCATGTGCAGTGATACAGAACTTGGTTACATGACTCCCTGAAAACAGACTGATCTCTGCCAATTCGTCTCCTAATTTCGTATCTCACTTTCAATATATCCATTCCCCAAAAGTTGCGAGGAAAACGAACTGTCCAAATGCATACGAGGAATCTCATATTCAACGACATGCTTGGAAAATGTTTTGTGAAGGAAGGTAGGCCCTACTTTATCTGTTGTAGGATTGCGAAATGTACATGATACGGTAGCCTCAGCTAGGGCCACCCGCGTTCCTGGGTGCACATGTACAGTCAATGGGCAGGTTGGCTTTAGTGAGGTACACTTAGGTCCCATCGACCCTCTGCCCAGAGACAGTGTTAGCCACCCAGTCGTGTCTGACTCTTTGTGACCCCACGGACTATAGCCTGCCAGGCTCCTCTGTCCCTGGGATTCTCCAGGCAAGAGTACCGGAGTGGGTTGCCATTCCCTCCTCCAGGGGATCTTCCCGGCCCAGGGATCGAACCTGGGTCTCCTGCATCGCAGGAGGACTCCTTACCATCTGAACCACCAGGGAAGCCCATAGGGAAGGTTCTAAGGGATGGCGCATAGGCTCTTCCTGCTGAGCAGCTTCCAGGGCTCCATAAGGTGAACAGGCCAGGGTCACAAAGGCTGAGCTGAATCGTGAGACAAAGGGCTGCTGCTGCTAAGTCACGTCAGTCGTGTGTGACTCTGCGACCCCATAGACGCAGCCCAACAGGCTCCCTGGGATTCTCCAGGCAAGAACACTGGAGTGGGTTGCCATTTCCTTCTCCAATGCATGAAAGTGAAAAGTGAAAGTGAAGTCGCTCAGTCATGTCTGACTCTTAGCGACCCTGTGGACTGTAGCCTACCAGGCTCCTCCGTCCATGGGATTCTCCAGGCGAGAGTACTGGAGTGGGGTGCCATTGCCTTCTCCGGAGGCAAAGGGCAGGGTGGGTCAAAACCCAGGATGCGGCTTTCGTGAAGGCAGCAGACACAGCAAACAGGAAGCACCCTCAGACATGAAGGAGGCTGCCAGGCCGAGCGTGGGGCAGAAGAGGACGGAACTGACAGTTAATTCACTTCCTCATGCGTTCCACCAGGAGGGAGTTGCAAAGATGAAACTCTGGGCCTTTCCAGCAGGCCTCTGGGTAGAGAGGGAAGCTGAAGAGAGCCAAACCTCTCTTTCTCAGGCCAAGCAGAGCGTGGGAAGGGTGACAGTGCAGGTGCCAAGGGCCACAGGCACGCAGATCAGGGAGTGGGAGAAAAGAGACTGACAGAGGTCGTGAAAGCTGCCTCTCTGACACACACAGGAGAAAGCAGAATCTGAAACAGTGGAGGAGGCAGCCCCTACCAAGGGCGTTCTCAGCATGAAGAAAAAAAAAGTGGAAGGTGGGGGTTGCGGGTTTGTGGCTTCAGTATCCAGCCAGAGCGCCCTGCTGCACCTGGCCTCAGCTCCCAGGATAAATCCCCCGTTGGTCCAGCCCACCAACTTCCCCCGAAGGGCAACCACCCAGTGCCCAGGACCTTCTGCTCCTAACTAGCAGCGCCCATGAGGATCCCCAGCCAGTCCTTCTGCTTTTGGATGCCACAGGGCCTCCGCATCTTGTCCCACCTCAGCAAATGAGACCCCCTGGTTTCCCAAGAGCTGTCATTTTTACCTCTTCTACAGAGGTCTGGAGGACGGAACTTCCCAGGAGTCTGCCTCAATGTGGTTTTGACCCGGCAGAAATGAGCCACCCACCTGCACACTTGGGAGAAGGCTGTGCACGAGGGGAAGGGGGCTGGGAGCTCTGCTCTGCCGGGGTCTGAAGGAGGGTCACACGGGGTGAGAGGCAGCTCACGTGGTCCTGGGAGGCCGCACTGACAAACAGCTCTGCGCAGATCCGGACGGGTTCTGGGCACCCAGCTGTTGTGCTCCTTCTGCCTGCAAGATGAGACCCGGGCACCCCCTCCTGGGGCTGGCATCACTTGCTGAGCCGTGGCTTTGGAAAGAAGGGCAAGTCAAATCCCGGAAAGAGACTGAGAATGAATTCCAGCTGGCAGCCCCCCACCCACAGCAGTTGTGTAGGGTGGAGTGAGATGAGATGGACTGGGTGGGGAGGAAACCCAGGCGCCTGTGGAGGTCTGCTGCCTTTCTGTCTTCCTGGCTCCTCTCCATTCCTTCCTGTCTGACAAGGTCAGGGCAAAGGGTCAGGGAACTTCTAGGTGCAAGCGGGTGCTCTTTAAAAGGTCTTTTGTCCTTGAGCAACCTAGAACCCTTGTGGCTCAGCTGGTAAGGAATCCACCCGCCATGCAGGAGAACTGGGTTTGATCCCTGGGTTGGGAAGATCCCCTGGAGAAGGGGACAGCTCCCCATTCCAGTATTCTGGACTGGAGAATTCCACAGACTGTATAGTCTATAGGGTCGCAAAGAGTGGGACACCGCTGCTGAGCGACTTTCACTTCCACATCCTAGAACCACAGGAGGCAGCCTCTCAAGGTGGTTACTGAACCCGGACAGTGGCAGACCATCGTCTTCAGAAACTCCAGCCTCTTACTCAGAGCAAAAAAGCCCAGACTCCACCTTCCTTCATGCAGCGAATCCATTTTCTCTCCTCAGGATTTTGGCCTAGTACCTCAGGTAACAGGAAACTCACCTTTGCAAGGACTGCGGTTAGGTCCTTGGCAGGGTTAGGATTCTCCTTCCTTCTTTTTGTGTTTCCTTTCTTCTTCCTACCACTCCCCTTACCTTCACTGGACGGCCACCCACCCTGTTTACTCAGCCTCTCAAATTCTTCCATCCTTGGACAGATATCCTCTTTGGGGTGTTTGGTGGGGGGGGGGGGGCGGTGGGCGTGTGAGATGGAGGACCCTTCAGCCCCAACCCCATCCCACCGCGGTCAGAGGAGGCAACTAGGTTAGGCCAGGGCATTTCTGCAAGGCCATCCCTGAGCAGGCAGGGCCGGCCCTCCGAGGCTCGGCCAGAGCTGCTCCCATCAGAGGGACCTTGGGCCGCCTTCTCCAGACACGAAGGTCCCCGGCGGGCCTGGGGCCGAGCGTGTCCACCCGCGGCGCTTCTCCTCCCCAGAAACGTGGCCTGGGGCCTTTCCCAGCAGCGGCCTCCCCCGCCCCCACCCTCCGCTAGCCACCCAGCCCGCGCCGGCTCCAGCACGTGGCTCTGGGCGCAGGTTTCCTCCCCGCCCCGGCCGCTCGGCAGGGTGGTTTTCACCCTCTCGGTTCCCCCTAACCGCCCCCCGCACCCCCCTCCCCCCGTGACTTCTTGTAAAGAAACCTCCGCTGGTCCCCACCCACCTCCGCCCTCCCGCGGCTGTCGGACCCAGCCGGCCCCCCTCCGCCTCCCCCGGAGGCAGCGCTTTCTCCCCGCCCCTGGCAGCGGGCTCGGCTTCGGAAACTGTTGACTCAGAGGGTGGCCGGGCGGCCAGCGTCTGATGTCAGCTTGGACTGAGGCCAGGAGCGGAGGGGCGCGGGGAGGAGGGCTCCGGTGGCGGGCGGGAGCCGGGGATGGGGTGGGGAGGGCGCTGGAGGCGGGAGGAGCCCGATGCCCTGCGCGGGGCGCGGAGCGGGGTCCACCCGGGGCCGGTGGAGGTGGGGGTGTGGGGCCTGCGCTCGGCGTCCCGACTCGGCGCTGCGCGCTCGGGGACTGCGGCTGCCCGGGCGCCCGTGAGTCACGGTGCGTCACCGGAGCAGATGCCCCGGCGCGGCTGGAGGCTCCCGGGCTCCCGCTGACTCATCAGAAAGCCCTGCCGCGCGGCCCGGGAGGCGGGAGGCGGGAGGCGGGAGGCGGGAGGTGGGGGGGCAGGAGGAGGGAGCGGCCCGGGCTGGCGGCCGGCGAGGTCATCTGAGGCACTCGGAGCCGGAAAACCCCAAGGAGGCGTCTGCGGCAGGGTGGGCTCTAGAGTGGGCGCGGCCGAGGGGAGCGGGGACCACTGGCAAGCTGCCGGGGTCACCTGCGGCGCGGGCCGGCGGCGGGCGACCGCAGGGAGGAACAAGGCCCCCACCGCCGGCACTGGGCGGGCCGCCTCCGGGACCCCCTCCCCTTCCGCGATCTGGCCTTGCAGCGCGGGACCCCGGGGAGGGTGGGCTGCAGGAGCTGGCGGTTCCACGGCACCAGCGCTGGCCCCCGACGGCCCCCCGAAGTGGCGGGGTTCCACCCCCCTACCCTCTTTAAGACTTCGTGGAGGGAGGGCGGGGGTTCTGTGGGAAGAGACCGCACCAGCACGCAGGCCTCCACGCCCTCGTCCCCCGCCCAGCTCTCTCGACCCGCCCCTCCCCCGAGGAAGCGGCTCCGGTGCCGGGGACACCACGTGCTGGGTCAAGACCTGGCTTCGGCCCTTTCCTGTCGCTGCCGGCTAACCACAAGGCCCCCCTGGCACTCAGGAAATAGAGCGGCCGGGCCACGGAACTAGCAGCAAGGGGCCTGAGCGGAGAGGGCTGGTCTGTGTGACTGTCCACCCTGCCTAGGAACAGGGACAACTTTTGTCGCATGCAGGAAACGCGTGCAGCCCCTCCAGGCAAGGCGCCCCCACCCCCAGGGACAGGCGGGGCAGGAAGAAGCCACAGAGGGTCCAGTGCCGACAGCCCCCGCCCTTCCTGCATGCACAGCCTGGCCGGGGAGACGACCCTGGGCACACCCTCGCAGTGACAGCCCGGGAAGGGGGACTGGGGGAGGTGGGGTGGGGGGCCGGGAGACAGGCGCTTACAGAAGCCCCCCAGAGGCTTCCTGGTGGAGCTGGTATGAGGGCAGGGACCTTAAAGAGAAATGATTTGAACAGATGGGAGAAAGGACATTCCAGACGGAAACAAATGCCTGGAACCAAAACCTGGAGGGGGAGACAGCAGGCGAGTTCTGGGAACAGCAAGCAATCCAGTTGGGCTGGAAGAACAGAGGCTCCCAGAGCACTGCGGCCTGGCAGCGCAGAGGTGGATCTGAGAAGCAGGCCCCGTGGCCCAGAGGGGACCCGGAGCTGCGGGGTCCCGCCCTCTGCCCCCCACCCCGGGGGCACCGAGTCATGCCAGTTCCCAGACGGATGGATTCTTTCCAAGAATTTGTCAGCCACAGCTGCAGGAACCGTCCTGCCTTGGATGGCTTTTATTAGCTGGTCTCTAATGCAAATCCTCCTTTGTTCAGATTTCAAATTCTTTCCTATTCTGTTCTTTGATTTCCCTCAGGATTTCTCAACCACGACAGCACACTGAAATTACCTGGGGGTGCTTTAGAACACACAAATGTTGAAGCATGGGCCCCCTTCCCACCAGGTGATTTCACTGGTCTGGGGTGTGGCCCAGGCATCAGCATTCTTTTACTGGGGAGCCAGGGGTGAGAACCGCTGGTGCAGATGGTCACCATTGAGAGGGCCCAGACTCAGAGCAGGGGCCCCCAGGCCTGCAGATTGCCCAAGTCCAACAAGCCCTGACAGCCACCCAGACAAAGATGTCCAGGAGCAGTTGGACTCCCCAAGGCTGGAGTTGAAATGTGTTTCCCAAGCATCCACTCTGCAGCTGAGGCCAGTTTCCAACAGGAAGGGAGGGTGAGGCTTCTGTTTGTTTCCCAAGAGCCAACTGACCTTTCAAGCCAGTGATAACCACTGGGGAATCTCACCGGTGGGAGGACCAGGCAGTGATAGGAACTGTAGCCATTTCCTGCAGACAACTCCACACAGCAGCTGGAAGGGGCCCTAGGTGGAGGTGGCACCACCTCCTGGAACACTCACTGGTCCTCAGAGGTGGCGGAAGATCCAGCTAAGGACAGACTGGGAATGCCCGGCAACAGGTCCTCTGCTTTCTTATGGGCAAAAAGGAGGTAATGATTCCCACCTCCAAGGTTCTTGAGAGCCTTGGGATAAATCACCCCAGCATGGGGCTAGTTTTCAGTAAGCATTCTTTTCTTCCTGTTTTGCTAGGAACTCACACATTGAGGGAAAATTTCCCAATCTGGGCCTCTCAGCTTTCTCAGCATCTGTCCACCCCCATCTCCCCAGGATTGGGGGAGGACCTTGAAACCGTAGCTAAGGTCAGGGGTAAAGGAAAGTCAGGTTGAGGAGCTTGGCAGTGGCCCATCTCCTCCGAGGAGAATGACATCGATTAACAAGGGGGTGACTGAGAAGCAGATATATAGCCTTGAGCCTGGGGAGGATCTACAGCTCCAGGAAGAATTTCCTGACAAAGGGCAACTTTGCCAAAAGGACACGTGAGAGTCTGTGAAAGTGGGAGATTAATCCTGAGTACCCGACCCTGTCACCACCAAGCAGTGTTGTGTTCCCATTTGACAGCTGAGAAAAACGAGGCCGAGTGACACTCAACCACTTGGTGAAGCAGCAACAGACAGCAAGTGGCAGAGAGCTGGGACTGGAATCTGAAAGACCGGCAGTTAAATGTAGTGGGGCAAGTCCTCCCCGCCTTTTGATTCTAAGATCCTGGGATTTTTGAGTTTTTCACATCGAGTGTTGTTCGCAATCAGAGTTCTAGAAAAGCCCTTAAAAGACAGAGAGCTGAAGCATTTAACCCAAGGAGAAAGTGGGTCATTGAAATGCTTATGCACTCTTCGCTCTTTGAATCCTCATCATCGAGAAGAAAACTATGCAGGGTAACCAGTGTTGACTGGTCTCGACGTGAGCCTACTGGGAGGGAGGTGGATATCGACTTTTCCCATTTTACAGATGAGGAAGCCGAGCAGGGCCGAGGCTGGGATTCGATGCTGGCTGGGAGCTGACAGCATAAATTCCTTTCCCGGTCCCTGAAGGTGGCCTGAGCACCTACGGCGGACCCGACTGGTGACCTGGCCGCCCTCCAGGGCCAGACTCTCCCCGCGGCGGGGCGGCCCGGGGCGCGGCGGGGCAGACTAGCCGCGGGAACCGAGGCGGCGCGCGCGCGCGCACACACGCGCCGAGGCGCAGGGCGGGGGCCGCGGGCGCCGGGAGGAGCGCACGTCCCTTCCCCCTCCCCTGGGAACCCGGCGCGCGGGGAGGGCTTGGCCGCTCCCCGCCCCGGCCGCCCCGTGCCCAGAAACCCGGCCTCCCGCCCCCGCGCCTGTTCCCGGCGCAGCCCGGGTCTCGGCGGTCACGTCTCCCCATCCGGCTCCAAAGTACGAGTCAGCCCGCAGCCCGGCCGACCCCGCGGAGGGGCGGGGGCAGGGGAAGGGCGGCGCCGGGGGCGGAGGGGGGCCAACGGCTGGGGCGCGCGGGGCCCCCTCCGCCCTCCCGCGCGGCGCGGGCGGGTGTTTCCAGGAGCCCGGCCCGGCCTGGCCCGCCGCGCCCGGGTCGGCCCGGCCCGGCCCTGGGGGCGAGGCGCGGGCGAGGCCGCCGCCCGGCTTGGGCGGGAGGCGGGGCGAGGTAGAGGCCCGGCGGGGTAAGCCGGGAGACCGCGCCTCCAGAGCGGCGCGCGGGCCGGTGTTGCTGGGGAGGAAAGCGTGGCCGCGGCCCCGCCTGGAGCTTCGCGGTCGCGGCGCCCTCTGCTGCTGCAGCTACAGAACTGCAGCGCGCCTCCTGCCCGAATCTACAGATATGGCGCGGCGACTGCGGAGCGGGTGGACGGATCTGGTCTAGTTCATTGATATTGCCGGTTAATTAAAGATCCCCATTCTCTTGAAGAGAATGGACTATAAAGAAAGCTGAGCGCCGAAGAATTGGTGCTTTTGAACTGTGGTGTTGGAGAAGACTCTTGAGAGTCCCTTGGACTGCAAGGAGATCCAACCAGTCCATCCTAAAGGAGATCAGTCCTGAATATTCATTGGTGGGACTGATGTTGAAGCTGAAGCTCCAGTACTTTGGCCACCTGATGCGAAGAGCTGACTCATTGGAAAAGACCCTGATGCTGGTAGGATTGAGGGCAGGAGGAGAAGGGGACGACAGAGGATGAGATGGTTGGATGGCATCACCTACTCAAGGGACATGAGTTTGAGTAAACTCCAGGACTTGGTGATGGACAGGGAGGCCAGGTGTGCTGCTGTCCATGGGGTTGCAAAGAGTCGGACACGACTGAGCTACTGAACTGAACTGAACTGATTCTCTTAAACAAACAAACAAACAAAAAAACCCAAAAACGAGTCCTGAGCACTGGAGGAAATTTTGGAAACATGGAGAAGAAAAAAAAATTACTCACATTGCCTGGATCCAGAAACGCTCTTACAATTTTACTGTCTGCCCTTTCAGAGCTTTCTATCTGCTCATCTGTGTGCACATCCTTTATAGAATTTTAAAAATACAGTTTGTCAACTTTGTGAACATATAGGGTTTGTGTTTTTCACTGTACCCTCCTCAGTATCTAGGAAATTGTTTAGCAGTGTTCCAGGTGCTCAAAAACCAAGAGTTGTTTCTACCAACATGAGCTTATGTTTTTCACACTTTCAGGATCTTCATTTTTAGCATGCTTACGTTTTCTTGTATGCTCCCCTGAGTAGTAAAAGATTGATGATAAAATGGTCCACTAGCCCCCTTCTAGAATCTGAAGGAATGTGTTTGGAATTTTTCACAGAATACATATAAAGTGACTGCACCAACTCCACCACTAGCTGTGGGCTCTGGAACAACACCCTGTAATCAAACACACCACATTCCTACAGCAAAAAGGGTAAATAAAGACTAGAAACATCTTCACGTCCCTTCCGTCAGGTTATGAGGCCAAATGAGTTTACAGCAAACTAAACAAAAAAACTGAGTTTCCAGAACATTTTGAATTTGAAGAGACTGCACTAAAGTCTTGGACACAAGGGTTTGGAGATGTGAGTCTCTACTGTGAGCTTGTGTTTTCTCATATGTTTCAGTCTCCTACACACTGCATGCTCAGTGTGTGTGTGTGCGCGCGTGCGCACTCAGTCACTTCAGCCATATCCGACTCGTCACACCATGGACTGTAGGCCAACCAGCACCTCTGTCCATGGGATTCTCCAGGCAAGAATACTGGAGTAGGTTGCCATGCCTCCTCCAGGGGATCTTCCCAACCCAGGGATCGAACCCACGTCTCTTATGACTCCTGCATTGGCAGGCAGGTTCTTTACCACTAGTTACCTCAGTAACCTCAGGTAACTGAGGGGCCAGCTGATACGATGTGAGTGAACATGGGGTGCTATGTGGAAGGGTAAGATATGGTTGGGCTAGACTTTTGGGTGTGGTCACACCTGCTTCTCCAGGCTGCCACCTTCAAACCAACGGATGTCACCACTTGTGTGGGTGCCTTTGTTTCTTCCTAGATTCACTTTCAGGGCCACATTCATCCCAGTGAACCCCGCCTGGGGAGTTTGGAAGAGAGCCAAATTCCCCACAAACCCCCCCACCCACCTAAGGCACTACTATGACCAAAATGTCACCACAGTAATGTCCCCAGAAGGGCATGGGAACCGAGACATTCATCAGTTAACAGTCTTTGGTTCTGCTGTTATCACCTACGCAGACCGTATGGGCCTCGGGCTGGG